TAAATTAGGCAATGTTAGTACAAGTGTACTACAGTGAAACACTTGTAGCAATCGCCAGCACTTTAGCAGGCAACATTAAATATTACGCTGTGCTCCGGTAAAGCTTTGAATATTTGAATATCAGTTTGCAGTTCCCAAGCTGCAAAGTGGTCACAGGAGGCGAAGAACGTTCCTTACTTTTATCCCTCTTACGGGAGAATCAGAATATTCATCAGATACCTTGTGTAGAAATGTCAAACAAACTCAACTGAAAAAAATAAAATCAAGAAGATTTACTAAAATCACTTGAGTAAAAGTGTAACAGCTGTTTATAAAAAGCAAAATAGATTTTTTCAGTCCTAATGCTTTGTATTTAACAGTCTGAGTAAAATGAACATATCAAATATGCATAGAATAGCATACTTTTAATACTGGGATAAATCAGTTAAAAACCATAAAGATAAGCATACAATGGGCCTGTATTAAAAAATTGTATTATGAGCTAGCTCCTGTCTGAGGCCGAGATCTGAAAGTCCTACAACTGATTTCTGAGTTCATATGCAGTTTCTTTTACTTCATTCATGCCAGTTTAAGGATTATGAGAAAATTCAGCAGATTAGGCCGTTAATCTGGTATCTCCAATCTAAATAGAAAAGTGTTGGATATGGCTAAGTACTCGGGGTATCGGGGTATCTAGAAAACACTGATATTGATATCCTAGCTTGAAATTTCAGATCAGGCTCTCTGCCTTGTACTATGAAGAATTTATTCCCCGCTACAAGGGTGGGTTTTTTCTACACTTTGCCTAACATAAATTTCGATTCATCTCCATTCTCATTTTTAAATTCTTGTCTTTTTAAGAAATCTCTTGTGAAATTGAAGAAGTGCATCATATTCTTGCATCACATTCTGAACACAGTTAGGCTTTGGCTTACACCGAGCTTTTAGAAGACACTGCCAGCGCTACTTTGTCTCCCAAACATTTTACCCAGGGCATAGGCAGCTTACACGTTTGGAAATAATTACTATACTAAGTACCCAGTGATGTATTTTTCCCAGAAACTGAAAATAAAGGTATAAAAGATATCCACACAATAATTTATAGGTGTTAATATATGGGTGTAAGTTTCTCTGGGGATAATTATGTGACTATGCTAATAACGCCAAGGATGCTTTGATACCTTAAATTCTCACAATGATGTTCTTGAGCATTTCCTCACTGCCAGGAGCGTATATATTTAAACAGGAGAGAGGGATGAGAGAGGCCCATACGTCTTCGCAAAAATAACCCTCTCCCCTCACACCGCAGGCAAGCTGAGGAAGCCCTGTTTGACACAGGCACTTACATTAGATGTGTTTACTGGAAACTTCCCGTTTTAAGAGCAGAAAAACTACACAAAGTGTGCTGAGAGGGGAGCAGCGTGGGTGGTGCAAGGATAGCCGGAAGAATGGGCATCACTGACAGCGAGACGATCAAAACCTCCTGGGCTTTGCAGGACTTCTGTACTTTTAAAAATTGCAATCTAGCACCCTTTGAAGCAGACCTTGCTGTGGTTCAGAAATACACCTTGCGAACCTCTGTGACAAGTCCAAGTGCCAGGCTAAGTTAGCACGCCTTGGAGAAGGGAAGGTTCCCAGCTCGTCAGAGAAATTTCTCCCAAAGCTTCCCTTGACTTGCTGGCAGACAGCTGGCACGGAGCCCCAGGTGTCCTTGAGAAGTTCCCCAATACACTGCTTGTCACTCCCACCGTGAGGGCTCAGTGTATTTTCAGTCGTTGTGGAGACACCAGAAGCAATCCCACCATAAAGGCTGCCCTCTGGAGTGGGCTCAGGCTGCAACGCCTGTGCCTGTTTTCCAGTACTGTAATTGCCCAGCTGGAATTAAACTTCACGCAGTTTCAGTTTTTATGCCTCCAAACATTTTTTTTTTTTTAGCTTTTCTTCTAGTGAGGCTAATGCCTAATCCTTTGACCTCTTGCATTAAGTCTGTGTAAAATTGCACTCTTCCAACACAGCAAACCACTACCCTAACGATCCACAGTTAACCGGTGTTACAGAAGCATGTGTTGGGATACAGGGGTCTACAGAAAAATCATCAGGGAATCTTTTGGAGCCATGACAGGGAGACAGAGTTGTGCCCTTGCTCTGGGATGGCAGTGGCAGTGGCCGTGGCGGGGGTAGGAGAGGTCCTGGTGGGTGAGCGAGTGGTAGGCGTGTATTTCGAGAGGCTGTATTGCATTTCTTGCCCCTTGCGAGCTTGTCAGGCGTGCTGGGACCAAGTCTCGGCTTGTGGAAATGATTACAAGGCAATTTATACCGAACAACGATCTCTGCTGTTGTGTTTGTTACAAACTTGGCTGCAGTACAGTAAAGTTTAGTGGATTAATAATGTCTGCTTTTGGCCTCTCCGACTCCCTCGGCAAACAATTTTCATGTATAATAAACATCCTCATTTAGCCTAACTAGAACAGAGCCCAAAGGTCAGAATAGCCATACCTGCACGCTGAGGAGAAGAGACTCTGGCTTTCCAGACGAGACACCATCTTTCTCCCCTCTCCATGCCAGGGTCCAAGACTTCTGCCCTTTTGCAGGATCAGCTTTGCTGGGCAGGTCCCCCTGAAATCGCAGAGGGGGCAGCGCTAGATGTCCCCTTCCGCAGGAGAAGGTCTGTCCAGTCAAAAGGGTCGCAGTGGGCAGCAAAGGCAGCACGGAGTCACTGGGACAGGCAGATGTTTGTTGAGCATATGGCATTTTGAAAAAGAACAGCACATTTTAAAACTAAAAACTCTATGAATATATATATAAAATATGCAAAAATAAATATTTCACACCAACGATTGATCACAGTGCATGCTGTGAGGGCATGTGAGGTCGAGTAAGTGGCGTGTGGTCAGGCACAAGAAGCCTGACAGTTACAAACCCTTTAAAAATCCGTATGGTTTATCTTGATTATCAGTCTCTTTCAAGAAGCAAAGAGTCTGCCCATGTTTCATAAAGTGTGTAGTAGAAATACCAGGATATGCAAATATGGAAGTTACACAATGAAAGCAAAACCGAATTTAAAATGTTTACAGTCAAAAAATGAGGGAACCAGAACTGCAGCCTTTTTATTGCTACACCACTGAAATGAGTGTGTGCACAACCTGGCTATTTAGGTGCTTGTAATTTTGTATGGTACAACCGTTTCTCTCCATCTTCCCACTGCTGTTTATGCCTCTTCAGTAAGAGCTAAAATGGAGGCTACCAATCTTGGGTATAATGAAAGAGGAATGTTGTAAGTAGTCTTGTGAAGCTTTATGAGAGCTATCGATTGATCAAATAATTAAGAATAACAGTCAGCACTTGACTTTATTTTGGCCGGGGAGAAGTCCTATAGCAACACCGTTGCCCCAGCCGGTGGATGGAGGCTCTTGCTATTGAACTCTGTGACCCAAATGCTGTGGCTGAGCATCTACCAGAAGAAATACAGGTTGTGTCATAGGCCCAGGTGCCCTCTGATGCACCACGGTGAACCTCACCAGCAGTGTCTCCAGTGAAGGATTTCTCGCCGTTCCTGTACACTGAGGTCATGCGTGGGCAAGACAATAAGAGTTCAGACAGGTTAGGTTAGGTTAGTGTCTGCCATGAAAAGGCAGTAAGAGCTAAAATGGAGGCTACCAATCTTGGGTATAATGAAAGAGGAATGTTGTAAGTAGTCTTGTGAAGCTTTATGAGAGCTATCGATTGATCAAATAATTAAGAATAACAGTCAGCACTTGACTTTAAGCGATGGACGGTTGACTTTTAGCCTGGGGAGAAGGGCTATAGCAACACCGTTGTGACAGCCGGTGGATGGAGGCTCTTTGCTATTGAACTCTGTGACCCAAATGCTGTGGCTGAGCATCTACCAGAAGAAATACAGGTTGTGTCATAGGCCCAGGTGCCCTCTGATGCACCACGGTGAACCTCACCAGCAGTGTCTCCAGTGAAGGATTTCTCGCCGTTCCTGTACACTGAGGTCATGCGTGGGCAAGACAATAAGAGTTCAGACAGGTTAGGTTAGGTTAGTGTCTGCCATGAAAAGGTGGACAAGAGAAACGAATTTTATCTTGGATATCTGAGCGATGTCCTACCTTCCCACTGCTCAGCGTTCTGTGTCACTGGCAATTTTCACTGCCACAAATAGGTGTTGCTTGACCACAGCTGGTGAAACAACGAAAAGTGGATATGTAAAACAATTTGACAAGCATCAGAGAAAAAACATTATTAAGCAAATTATTTATCCAATGCTATTTGGTCATATGCAGGGAAAAGAAAAAGTCCTGTTTTGTGCAGAATATCTAAACTATCTACATTATTTTCACTGAGCTATGAGACTCGGGTTTGCCTTCAATCCAGATTGACTAAATATAAAATCTATTCCTGGGCAATTCTCCTCATTAAGCAGGCCAGATACATTATTTTTATTTCTTCAAGAAGCATGCACAAATGTTTTCTGAAATTAATTTGTTTGGTACTTTGTACACTTTGTTGTTTGGTTGATTTTTCAGGGTGAAAAGGGAAGGAAATCTTCGACAACTTCTTGCGGTTGTGGGACATTTCTTTTTATCTACTTCCTTTTAAGACACTGTTGTAGAGAATCAGTGGTATGGACTATGAACACAGCAAAACAGAAATATTAGCGGGACAGCCAACTCTTCAGACTGGAGTTTATATTAGCAATTCAGAAAAAAAAATACAAGTGAGATATAACCCTATAAATATACTTAGGAACGTGTTAAATACAGATACATTTTTGCTGAACCCAAGAGCGTATCAGGATTTTGCAAATTAGCTTTGTCTTTGTAGCAAGTCCACGCAAATTTCAGGTCCTAAGCCTGAGACTGGAGGTACTGAAAATTAACAGCCACGTTTGTTGTAGTGTGAAAATGTAGGTGAAATAACATCTTCCTTCAAATATTTTCTTCTCTTTTCTTTTTAAATTTTTTCCTAATTGTCTCCATTTTTCCTTTGGCAGCTATAAAACATTGTAACCAACCACAAATAACCATAAAGATGGGAGAGGGAAACTGTAAACAGACCATTTTCGCTCTTAATTTATTTTGCTTATTCAGATTTTGGACATGTTTATTTGTTTATAAGATTGCTGTACATGAATAAAAGCACTGGAAATACTCCCAAGCCATTGGTTACAAATGATTTAAAGCTCATTTCTTCTCTAAAAATTAATCATGTAAAAATGAAGCCTTCCTGTCCACAGATCTACTTGTCTCCCTGTCTGTATCCAATTATGTCAGCTCTTTAAGAGATTCACCCCAAACTGAGCAGAAATGCCGTGACTGATCTCAACGGCGCCTGGAACGCGGGGCGATTTTGAAGCATTTTGGGGTACTTTTCTCCTGCTAACTGCCCAGCCCCGACAACCTAGCTAACGAGACAGATTTCCGTTGTTCCTCCCATCCCACGTCCAGCACCACTCACGAGTTCCCCTGGGGACGCCTGCGCACGGCTGCTCACAGCTATGTGCTTTGGTGCAGCCTTGTGCAGCAGCGTCTCGGCCGAGAGCCGAGGAGAGAGCAGAGCGTGGCTCAGCACACGCAGAGCCTGCTGGTCCAGCACCCAGAGAAAAACAGCCGTAATTTACCTGCAAACCGTCTGCTTTTATAGCTAAGAAGGTGAAGGTCTAACACATCTGGCGACTGACAGGGCCATTTTTCAGAGTGAAAATATAGTTCAAGGGAGACGTTTCCTACGCTTTCTATGTAACGAGGGGCTGTGCTGTTTGGGAGGAACGGTTCGTTATATCAATGTGGAAGCATCAGTGCAACTCTCGTAGTGGATTATCAAATGTCTGAAGGCTTTGTAGATGTGTTCGTGCTGCGTACAGACGAACCCACCACTTCTCCAAGCTTGCTCGGCAGCACGGTTTAGGTCTCCGATGCAGGTCCACTGATCTTTGTATTCCCTTGAAACAGCCCATTTGGAATGATCGTTAATGGAATAAAAGGTGGAATTCAATGGCGTCCCTATTAGGTTTATGTTGTAGACGTGGTAGTCGAGAGAGCAATTTGAGGGAAGTTTTTGGCCGGAATGCTGCCAGGATTCAGCCAACAAATCGGTCTTCAGTTCCTGAGCCACCCAGGCCACGTAGATATCTGTTGAATAACACAGGGTGTGGGAAATTAGTCTTTCGCGTTCCTTCATTTAAGAGGGGACTGAAAAGCATCACCTAGACTGGGCTCATTTAATTCCAATGCATAAAGTGGGGCAGAAGGGATTTTGCCCCCTCCCCCTATTTTGACTTTTGTTTCAGAAGTTCATTTCTACTTTTGCTCCTTCTCCTGGAAAACCTGTTACAAACAATCAACAGGAAAAAAAAAAGGAAAGGAAAAAAAATTTCAAGCCTTCTTCACAACAACAAAAAAGCAGATGATTCGAACCCCATTTTTGTTCTTTGTTGTTACTGTTGAATAGCAGGAAATAAGTTTTCTGAAAATCCCATTATTGAACACCTTAAGAAGGTGTTTGAAGGACCAGACAGCTTTTTGTTTTGTGGGGCTGAGAGAATATTATGATGGGACACCTTTCCCTGCCCTCTGTTACATTTATTTCTGAAGCTGAACTTCTTTTTTCCCCTCGAAGAAAATACTAATTGTGAAAGAATACATTAATCATTTATTACTTACTTGAGAATGTGTGATAGGTAGAGCAACAGGTTCTCTTACCATCTATGTACAAGTGTGACTTCGCAAAGTGGAGAAAGGTTTCCCCGTGAGCTGACTGGAGTTTGGAGAGGTGGCGCAAGGGGACCGAGGGCAGCCTGGACCCTGCACAGAGCTTCTGCAGATTTGGGAGATCAGCTTGGAAGATGTTAGGGATGGAACAGCTGTAGATTCCTGGATTATAACTCAGCATTTGTTGGTCTGAGAAAAACCCAAAGAAATGAACGCGTGCAGAATTAAAATGGGTTAAAGCGAAGGAATCAAGAGAGTAAAGTTCTGCCTTGGAAAGGAAACCTAAATCCTTCTTAATCTTCACAGCCTATCTCCTGGCGGAGTTCGGTGTCAAAGTATCTTATTTTGGCAACCAAGACCGTGTTTAATTGCTTTGCATTCTGACTGGCCCTGCAGCACGTAGATGGGCTGGGAGAGTATGCCCAGGTTTTTCCACTTGCACCTCATTATTCTTAGCAGAACTGTTAACCCATGGTCTCAGTCCACTGCCACTTCCATCCATGCTCATCTTCAAGCCTCTAAGCACACAGCGCTCAGACGGCATAGTAAATTCAAGCCTGTCCGTACTTACAGGAGTAGTTTCCAGTCAGTTACAGATGCCAAGCCAAATGCAAACAGAAGAGCTGCCAAAGGGTCTACTTTGGTTTTAGGGAGAACAGAGCTTGACTTTCAGCATCTGGATTGAATTAGCAGAAGAAAATGACTTTTCTGTACAGTGAGCAGCTTAACTGTAGAAGTCCTTGCCACGGATATGGTAAAGAGCAAGGGAACAAATGGGCTCATTAGATGAGTTCATGGAAGACCAGTCCATCAGGAACTTTCCAGTCTTTCCGGCTCAGGAAACCCCTGAACCACAGACTACCAGAAGCTGGGAGGACAGCGCAGGAAAAGCATTACTGCATGGCTCTCATTTTCTTGTCCTCTTTCCCTAAACACTTGCCTAGATGCGCTTCCACAAACAGGAACCTGGTTTAGATAGCTCTGGGGTGTGGCCAGCCTGGCCATTTGCACAGCTTATGTGTTTCATTAACACCATTTGAGGCTTCTAACTGAGAAGAGAGTGACAAACTGTGTGAAAAGTGTTAAGGAACATACCAGTACGATTTCTTATAACGCCTTTTGATAGTCCCTTTTCAGGATTCCAGTACCAGATATCACTGTCAGATTGTTCTGAATCTTATGGGTATAGATTTCTTTTTTTTTATTATTATTTTTAGTATCGGTATTTTATGTGGCAAAAGGTACCTGGGGAAATTCTGGGTGATATTTATTCCATACTTCATATTTCTGACGTGTCAAGGCTACTACTCCAGCTCAAGCAGTGGTTGCCTTACATTTTTAGAACTGCAGACGACTGCAGCTGAATGAGCGATTGCTGTTAAAAATTATTAAGTTTATATCTCCAAAGCATTTTGCATGCATGGACTGAGTTTACCCTTGATATGCACTTGTGACTATTGTTATCCCAATAGTCCCCATGGGGAGATGGAGACAGAGTGGAAGAGTGAATTTCCCACATTCGCACAGGAAATTGTTGGGTAAACATAACTGAAGCCAAGAACGCCGTTTCCAGGCCCCGCTTCATTTCCCAATCTGACAACAAAGGACAAGAACAAGCACTTTTTGAGGCGAAGCCTCAAGGAAAGCAGTCAGAGAGGTGTGGTGGGGCAAAGGCTTTCTTAGGGAGAAGCTTTTCATACCTATTTCTGTGAACTGGTCATATTTGAAGGTTATACAGATGGCAGTCTGTCCGTAGGATTCCCCAGTAGCTGGATACTCATAACCATCCTCAGGGGTGGGAGGGAACAGGGGCACGCTGTGAATCACCCAGAAGCCTTGTGATTTGTCCAAGAGCAGAAATCCTGTCAAAGAAAAGTTACTGCAAATGAATTAAGGGGGAAAAAGCCCTGAGATGATACATCTGTGTCCTACTTTGCATTTGCTGCTGCAGACACCACGCTTCAGTGTGTTAATGTCTACAGTAAACTGGCTCTAGAGTAGATTAATCAATTATAGGAGACAGTAATATCGTATTAAAATTGCATTAATTCTCTCCTGCATAGCCTAACTCAAACTGTCACCACTTTTCCTTCAAAAAAAATACTTTTCAAAACCTTTTCTCTTTCTCTGCTCAAATGTTATCTTCAAAAAATCTGATGATTTAGAGGCTGTGACCCTCTCCCCACTGCTCATTTTCCTTCCCTTCATATATTCACTGTGTAAGGGGAAATGGACTCTGTCAACACCGCATCTTCTTCCCCAGACCAAATTCTCCTCCACGGGGAAGCAGCAGAGAGACGGGCTATGCCTCCCCCTGCAGCAGGGTGCTCTGCTCCCGAGCTCCCGAGCCGTCCCTATTGCTGCAGCCTGGAAATACAGCCCTGCAAAGTATCTTCATCCCAGAGTCAGGCTGGGCAAACCCCATCTGCTTCCTCAAGGAAACATTTAGACCTCCACTGAAGTTTACACTTATTTGAAGTCTTGCTCTACTTTAACTGCATACTTTAGCACTTCCATGATCTTGGCAGCAGTTTCTTGCCCCAGAGAGAGAGTTTGGAGGGGTTTATGTTTAGGGTGCCTTTCCCTTCACATCTTGTACTGCTGTTGCCATTAGGTTCAGGACGATGTGGTCTGTGCTCGCCAAAAGGAGCTAGATGAGTTTCAACTCTTGAAAACAAAGGGCCCATAAGCCCTAAGAGTTCAACACAGCACAGGCATAGCAAAACCAAAACAGAAGCTGCAGCATGTATAACTATACAACAAACCACACATCATGCAAATCATTCTCCAGTTTTGCTTTAGGCAGGAATTTTAGATATGCAGATAGACAAACAGACAAGTAGATGCTATCCACAACTTTAGAAAGGAGAAAATAGTAGCTTGGGACTCTCCCCGTACCTTTGGTGTGTCCTCTTTTCCACCCATCGGAGTCTGATTCAGGGACCTCATCGTTGTATATCGCATATGCAATGCTGTTCCTCTGCAGGAAAACACACATTCTGAAACATGACATTCAGTAAAAGGAAGGCATTTAAGTGAACATCTGCTGGGAACAGAAAAAAGAACTCAGGACTTCTCTGTGTGAACATCACGAGCCTAATCCTTCTCCCAGTGCAGCTGACACAGTCTCCGCAGAAGTGACAGTAAAATAAACCTGAAGACTCAGCATTAGGGTCCCGGTTAATATAAAGTGGAAGTTCTCTCAATCATTGCAGTAGCCCTTCCTTAAGGGGTCAAATATGCTCACTAAGACAATTTACATGGGTTTATTGGGCACTCGCTTGCAAAGAAGTGCTCCCCCCCTTTTTTTTGTGCCTCTCTCTGATTTAGCAACCAGATCCGGTGAAAATGTTTGCTGAGGAAAAATAGACAAGTGTTCTTATGAAGGACAAGCATTAATACTTTTTTGCAAAATATTTGCATATGGCCACACCTTATTCCCCCTGAATAGAGAACTTCAAAGGAGCGGTGACGTGTTTCCCCTCCCAATGTATTTTGAGTTTGTAAACAGTTTATTACAATTACAGCAAGACCTGGAATCGGACAGTTGATCGGATTGCCAATATTTGACTGACTTCTGGGAATCTCTTCTACATAAAAATTAATGACACCCTACCAGTAGCCCGCAGCAGAAATGCAAAGACACACCCAGACTCCCAAGAATACTATGTAGATGGTAAAAAAATAACTATAGGCAGATCTTGCGGTATTTTATAATCGCTTCACACAAATGTAAATGAGGTGTCTGACTGCGGGGGGAAAAAACAAGGCCTAACAAGCAGCGTATCGCTGTGTCTGTAACAGTCACCACTGGTCCTGGTCTGAGTTCACAGCCAGTTCACAGCTTCAGACGTTGCTCAACATGAATTGCAGAGAAGCCGCCAAAGGGACTATGTACCAACGCTCATCTTTTTGATGGGCAATACTTTAAGTGTGTGAAAGGCTTGACTAGAAATTAGAAATTCAAGGATAATTTATAATTGTAGCCAAAACTGCAAATAATCTGCCCAGCTGTCAAGACACTCCCCTTGACGTGTTTTAGTAGATCTAGTCGGTCAGGTCCGCCCATACCTCTATGTGCTTATTTTGGCTGGTTTAATTTCATTTGCATGCAATATCAAGTAAGCGTACTAACAAAATGATAATTAAATGCCACTTGCCTTGGATTTGTACGTCTCGTATAGCTGCTTCAGTGTTTGTCCCAGAGCACCCTGTGTCATGTTGACGAGGTATTTACCGAGCTGCCACTGCGGAGCCAGGGCGTCCATGTACATGTATTCCAGCCCCAGCGTGGGAATCTCTCCTTTGGCATGTTTCGGCAACTTGTAAAGAGCAAACCTGCAACAGTGAAGAGCAATTGGGTTTTTTTACAACCATCCTGTTTGAATGTGTGAATCAGTATCTCCTTCCCAACTGAGGATTTAAGAGGAGGGTGACTCCGGGGATGCCTACGCCGGAGGGGGACCAGTGCCACCCGCGTGCGGTGTGGACGTCTCAGCCTCGGGAAGGTGACCCGGCGCAGGGACCAGCACCAGTTCAGCAGCACAGTATCTGCTGCAGACAAATTTGTTCTGCTTCTTTGCAAGCAAGGGAGGCTGATTCAGCACCAAACTCCTGTTGCTGTGGCCAGACTGCTGTTGGTACCCTGAAAGAATTTGAGGGAGCCCTGGTTTGGAGTCCCGTTTAGCCACCAAATCCCTATTGCTTCTGGTTCTGGTAGAGAACCTCAGGTCCCAAACTCAGTCTGACATTCTCATGGTCAACCCAGACACCTCCTACCAATACATTTTTATATTATATAAATACAACTTTATATGAAATAGATAAAATTATTTATTAAAATTATAAAAATGCATAATGTTATATTTATACATTAATATGTATAAAAATACCACAAAATAAGTATAAAGCCATGTGATAATGTTGTTCCAATCCTACTTTTCATAGCAGACTCACACTCTGCTGAACTGTTGCAGACTGCAAACCATTAGCCAGAAACACAAATCTTTTCAAAATTGTAGAGTACTCAGTATTGTCAGTAAATGGCTCCGTTCATATTAATGTCCCTGATGAAGTAAACAGGTTTTCCCAGTGCACAAGTCCATGGGATTAATTGCAATATAATTAATTGAGCCACTTTCTTTGAGTGCTGTACTTGAGTAATTTGTTATTTATGTCAATAGTAAGAACTGAGTGGCATTATTTTCAATCCTATACTATTTACCAAAAACGCAGCCTGACTGTGCTTAACGCTTCAAGTATATCAGGAGGAGCGAGCCTTGCCCAGTTGATTTACAGTCTCAAACTGGTCAAAAAAAGGCATCCCCGAAAGCAAGTAAGAAGTGGTAGGAAAGCACTTTGCCAGAGGAACACTTAATCCGTGGGAAACGTACATGTACAGGCAGAAGAGAAACACACACCACTGGTGATCCTGGTAGTCCACCTGCGTTGCCACTGACTGAGTGATGTTCCTTAAATATCTCAGGGGAAATTGTTGCTGATGACAGATCACAGAGAAGAGAAGGAAGTGATTCATACAGCAAGGCTGGGGAGAGCTGTCCGTGCACGAGGAGTCACAACAATCCCTTTATTTGAAATGAAGATTTGGAAAGGAGAGGACTAGCAGTAGTTACAGTAGTACAAGCTGATGAAGAAATTAGCGTACGAAGCCTTTCCAAACTGCTTTGAAATGTATCGGAAGATTTATGGTCTCGGGGTGTTCACAGCCTTGCACCTGACAACTGGGTGTTAGCAGGTACGCTTACGGAAATGCTAGTAGTTGAGCTATCAGTAAATTGCCTGGCAGTTCCCAGTGGATACATGTTTTGGCCCTTTCCAGAAAGCCAGCTGAGTTTATTAGCAATTAAAGTTGTATAAAAGTCTTCACTGCTATTTGTGCACAGGAAGTTTCTCAAGAGCTTAGGCATTTGTGGGAGCAGACTGAAAGTTATTTTCCTGAGAACCAAGAAAAAGCAAATCGGCTTATATCCGATTAGCGTTATCACCTTGTTTGCTTGTGACTGAACGCAAACTTACTACAAATAATCACATCTTTACTTCTTCCCCCCCTCCCCGCCCCCCCAAAAAAACCCAAACAATGTCCATCCGTGGCTTCAGTCCTTGGCTCAACACTTCTCAGAAAGCAGAGTTTGGGCTTTTACTTGCATGAAAAGCTTCCCACAGAATACAGTGAGTTTGGATGAATAAAGGAAAGACTTTCTACCCTCCTTAGAGAGCCGATTCTACGGCCATTTGCTCTGGTAGCCCCCGCACGAGGTGCAGCAGAGATGACGGGACGAGCTCCCGAGTGGAATGAAAACACGGGGGGGACTTTTGCCAGCCCAGGCACTGCGTGTGGGTAGGAACTGCAGGCACAGCTGGGGAGCGCAGATGGCATCAGGTCAGATAAGGCAAGTGGTTCCTCCGGTTTAGTGGCAAATGAAAGGGTGCGTGAATACTAATAACGAGTAATTATGGAATATTGCAGGATGAAACCACTGAATAGTAGGAACTCGCATAAAGCTCTTGCTAACTGAATATAAAACCCGCAGTGCTGTTTGTTTGAAAGGGCATCGACATCTTTTGGTTAAGAGGAAGCTTTTCTCAGCAGTTTCAGTTCTGCTTCTCCTATCAGCTTCACAGCAACCAAATCCAGAATCAGGCAAAAGCTGAATATTTCTTGTCAATAAACTAAGATGACCCCTGCAGATAGGCAAGTTTCTTTTTCATTTGATCATGGCACATTGGAAAGAAAATCCCTCAGGTCCTCCCTGCTAAAATTGCAGAAGAGAACATAGCTTTTTACCTGTGCAGACCCCCCTGCTCCCATCTGGAACGGGTCCCACGTCGCTGGTGTTCACACGCATGGCAGCACAGGTGAATTACTCCTAGTCACAGCTTTGAAAGAATTTCTCAGAGAATTTGGATACAAAAATTGTGTTCACTTAAGAAATAGATGGTAAATGGGTTTTTGTTTTGGTTTGTTTGTTTGTTTGGGTTTTGGTCTGTTTTTTTTTTTTACCTTTAGCACACACAGACTCATTCTGCAAGGAATAATTGCAGTTTGCGGAGAAATGAAATTTGTTACACCTTTAAGTTGGGGAGCTGCACCAATTAAGAATCTGGTTCCTGAAAAACTCACATTGTCCAGAAGAGCCTTGGCAAGGGTGACAAGTCACAGGGATGGACCGGACCCTCATATGTTTGATGCTGTGCCAATAGAGAGCAAAGCCGGCTTTGTGCCCCTGCTTGAGTAGCCTGCCTGCGGTGTGAGGAGCCCCTGCCTTCCCTGCAGTTAGCTCTGTGTGCAAGGGAAGGGACGTGCAAGAATAGCACCTACTTCTTTATCACTTGTATCCAAACTAATCATCGTTCCGTGAGAAAGCCACTTTTCTTTTGAAATCGGTTGATACTTATCTCTGAGAGGCTTCCGTGCTCTTTTTTAAGAGCCCTCATTTCACTTTTTAAACCTGGGTTGGATATTATGTCATTATACTTTGCGCTTTTCATCTTCAAAGCGCATTAATCCAATTAATCATTTAATACCCAAACTCGGGCTCACTGCTGGCAGTGGGATGGTACCAGCTCTAATGCGCCGGCAGCTCCGGCGGCAGGGAATGACCTCTGCTCCTCAGTCACAAGGCGCAGATGGTGCTTTCCCACACTGCCGCCCCCGCCCTGCGCCTCTCCCGCATCCCTCTCCCGCATCCCTCCCCGGGGCAGCTCGGCCTCCGCTCCCCCTCGGCGACGGCAGCAAGAGGACAAGTCCCACCACGCTGCTGTTCGGGTACGAGCGACGAGGCTAAGGGCGAGATACGGATGTTTTCTCTGCTCGGCACAGTTCCCTCAGCCAGATGAGCCGCGTGCTGGAGCCCTGGCCCGGGCCGGGCACCCCTGGGGCTGCCGCTGGCGAGCGCAGCCTTGGCACCCGAACACAGGTTATGCTCCCTTTGATGATGAGACACGAACGCTGTGTAAACCGGTGATTATTTTGCAGTTAGTCATAATGCAGTAGGGTGGTTGGTTCAGTGAAATGAAATCACATTTCAATAACTTATCCTAGGCTTTCCAAATGCAAAATCCAGCTACTACTCACAGGCAAACAGGATTAAAACAGCGATCGCTATGCATTACTTCTCAGTGATCTGCCTACTTCACGCGGTTTAATCTCAGGTGCTATTTCCTCACCCAGCGTTTCTCCCCTGCGCGGTATTTACTTACCAATCGACTGTCTCTCCGTCTTCGTTCCTGCAGGAGATCTCAGCTGCCCACAGGGGCACGGAGGAGAGAAGCAATAGCAAAGCAGGGTGACCCCATGCAGATCCCGCAGGCATTTTGGTTTCTCGGCTGCACAGGGCGAGCGCTGAGTAGGCTCTAAAAGGAGAAGTTGTGTTGCAGTAGCTGTCAGCTCCTGCTGTACGATGCAGTAAGCACACCCTGGGCGGCTGCCCGGGACGGCAGAGCCAGCCCGGGAAGTTGGGCTCCCGCTGCAGGGACAGCTGTCGGCGGCGGGGCCAGGGCTGCCGGGAGCCGCTGCTCAGGATTTCTTTGGGCAACAAAAAGGCAAAACGACAGTTGTCAGGTTATGTTTTTGAGAAAACTTACCTTCGTATTTCAGGAGGTAGCATTTTGGCTAGTTAAAATATTCACGGTATTCTGCTTTAAAAAAAAAACAAACCAAAAACCTGCAGATACTGAAACCCTTTTTGTTTTCTTTTTAGTGCTGCATGACTGACATATGAATTTTTTACAACTATCTGAAAAAAGCTCGGTGTTCAGACAAGCAAAACAAAATCATTTCCATCTCACTACTTCTCCATCCAGCCCTTGTAGCGAGCACAGCCTTTGCACCGTTCCTGCAAAGAGGGTTTCTGGTGAAGCGCTGAGCCCTGCCCGGTTCTGGCTCTGGCGGTGGGGGCCTTCATTTGTCAGTGGGGATTGAGCCCGCAGCGACTGACAGTCAGAGAAAATGCTCTGATCTCTGAGCCACAGTAATTTACTTACAATTAGTTGGTTTTTTTTTTTAATTATCTTTTAAGTGCATTAGCATTTCTCTTAGGAAGAAACATGTCTGAATCGAGCAATTTTACATCTGATAATCTTTTAGCAACTCACACATAAAAAGCTTCAATTTATATTTTGGTGTGTAAAATATTCTTTCTCCTTCCTCATTATGCTTACATTAGAAGGTGCTGATTTACATTAAAAGATGTTGATACCAAGTATGGGATTATTTCAGCCTCAGGGAAAGTCTAGTGCAACAAGCTCTGGATGTTTTAGCATAACAGAAATCCTCACAACCTTCACGTTATTTTGTCTCCTTTCTAGTATAGCCTCTCCAACGCTGTAATAGATGTGTAAATCGGGTGTGTTTGACAGAAGCAGGATAACACTGAATAGGGCTTAGCGCAAACAAAGCCAATGATCCCAGAAAGCCAGGATTTTGGAGGTGTGGATCAAGACCTGCTCAGACTCACTCCTGATCCCTTTTGTGGGAGATCATACCTGTCACACAGTTCTGAGGAAATGCTTTCGACCAGCCCAGCTCGGTCTGTCTTTTCTTCTTGCTCTCGGGAATTGCAACATGCATAGAGGGGGTAATAAAACACACAACATGCCAAGAACGTGACAGCCGCTTCCATTTTCTGTTTGGGACTTCTGCCTGCTTACAAAGCAACCTTCCCACCCCTCACGGAAGAATTGCTTCGATACCCACCGCTTCCACTCGGCCTCGGAGCAGCAGGTCCCCGCGCCCCTGCGTGCCTGACGGGGGGCAGCCCTGGGGACACAGAGCACTCACTGGGCTCTGCCTGCTAACGGGGGGCTCCGATAACTAATCCTCTGCTAAAGGATGCTGACCGCACTTTGCATGAAAACGGAGAGGGCTCAGCGCATCGCACATGTGGAGCCTGGCAGTGGTTGTGGGAGCTGGGAGCCAGAGGAATAGGAGGCAGTGAAAGTCTGTTCTTGGTGCCAGGGAAAATCGGGAGCTGTATCTAGAGAGGCGCCGCCCAGCCTGGCAGAGCCGGCGCTGGTGGAGTGGCTGCGGAGGGCGCGGGTGTGAATGCTGCCTGCCCTCTGCACGGCTGTACCTGCGGTGACTGAATGCACTGGGACACTCTGGCTTCAGAAAGAGATGGTGGAGGGAGGACTCAGTGAAGGTCCATATAGTCAGGAGTAATCCAAAGATGATGAACAAGAGAGACTAGTTCGCTGTTACTCACGTTAAATGATCTGCCCCCCATAAAATGTTAAAATTCTATCACAGCTGCTACTAATGCAGTAATATCTTCCTAAAGCATTTTTTCTTCCCATCAGGACTTTGCAATTTATAATGGAAATATTTTCATCACAGGTAACCACAGAAATAAAGACCATAAACATCGGTTATGTTTCATTGACTGAGCATAACCCAGGCTTCCACTGAGTTCCCTTACAACTGTCACGTATTTTCTCTGCAGATCAAGGATGTAGAAGTCCTCAACTGCGAATATGGCAGGAACACAATTAAGTTCCTTCGCCTTCATAGAGAAGGGAAGAAGCACTTTGTTAAAGAAGTGGAAGTGTGCACGCATCTCCGGCTGACTTCTGCTCAAGAGTACCTGGACGGAAACAACTCTCTTGTGATACCTACTGACACCATAAACAATATTGTCCTTGTGTTGGCCAAAAAAAATGGGGTATTTTTTATTTTTTAACTAGCCTTGCTGTTTCTTATGACTTTGTTTGGAAGTGTTTGTTATACTAACTTTTTATTTTCAAAATGCATCAAAAGAATCTCTCCCCCCATGAGCATGTCAGATCGGCACTAAAGTCACCTTCAGTGATTTGGGAGAGAATTTTTCCTCCTCCAGTGCTTATCCTGCAAACTCCTCTTCAGTTTTCCAAAGCCTTTTTTTCTCACAGAGCTAGCAGTATTTTTTGTAGATTTGTCATATAAGATCCATCTTTTTTTTTTTAATTTAATAGCACAAAATACTGCATTATTCCTATATAGCACTTTTAAACTGAAGGTGTCAAAGTGTGTGAGACTTCTCTTAATTCTGTTGACTTACCTCCCTCAATTGCGTCTATCGTAATGGCAATCTGGAGCGCAAATTCTCTATCATCTCAGTAATGAAATCCCATCTTTAGCCTGTAAAGTTTAATCAGAATATTGCTATGATTATTTCAGCATTATATCCTCAAAGCGTAAGGCTTCTGTAGCAGTTTCTCTCAGTCCAGGGACTGCAGCTCGCTATACCACAGAACGGGAGATTTTTGATGTGACTCTGTAGCTGCTATTTGCAGCGTGTGCTACAGGCGGATCAAATGACTAGGCACAGTGCGCAAAGCCAGAATTGAGAGAAATCTGTATTTTTAACAACATTGATCCTTCCCAAACATTCACAACAATCAGAACAATCTACTTCTGTACACGAGGTAATTGCTTCTTTCTAATAATACCGTTTGCTGTCTTAGATCTCAACTTTAGAACAATTCGCTATAGATATCTGCAACCACTTCATGACAACATTTTGCCAAGTGGCGTACGTCAAAACCTATATTCAAGAAGTACCATGGCAACGTCTACATGAGGTATCTAAAATACTAATGCATTCAGTTTGTTTATGCTGGAGCCATTTGTCACACTCTTGGTTCATGTTTTCACGTTAAGATGTTATTTACTGCACTTGTACTTACATGTCTGCTCTAAATTGCAGAATGGCGTTCCCCACATCCACTCGTTTATATACGTTCCTGATGGGATCCGCTTTTGTGAAGCTGAGCAGTGCCGAAATGGTGAGAAAAGAATTTGCAACTTCCCCTACTTCTCTGTAAATATTTCTGCCGATGAGAGATGAAGATGGCTTTAGAGATAGCGAAAGGTGTTACAGGCCTTACAGCATAGCCAAACCTCTCCAGAGGTCTAAAACAAAGAATATTTTTATAGTCTAATTTTGCACTCCTTCATCTGAGACATGGCTGAAAAGCTAATGTAGCTCACATTTGTATGTATATCCTAAACATATACTAGTTCCAACAGCACATACAACAGAACTGCTATGTATTGTCACAGGATTTAATAGCCTTCTGAGAATGGTCTGCTCACTTTTTTACATTATACTATATTCTGCAGTCTCACTATTATCATTACCCTATAGAGAATATATCATGAAACCACACTGCTGTTGGCCAATTGCCTAGTTTGCAGTTATTTTCAAAACCCTGTCAGCATGCCTTGGTTTTATTTCTAAGAAAGATGCAATTTCATCGCTGCAAGTCAGGCTGGCTTGAACATTGTGAGCACTCGGGTCTACGTGCAAACAATTTTTCACATGAAAATACTTCAGAGTGTGCTTACTACTTTTGCATGCCATGTGTAAACAAAGCACCGTTTGGCTTCACTAAGAGTTTTGTGATACTTAAAAGACATAGGCTTTCAAGCTCAACTGTCTGTCCATAAATTGGCATTCCAAAGGGAATGTAAAAATTATCTCTTGCTATGACTCACAAGAGCGCGAGTTCAATCTCACTGTGTTGGTGTTTCATTTAACCCGTCTCTCAGACTACTGGGAACTGAGCTGAGACCACTACATTATTTCACACAGCGGCTTTAGAGGTTTTAGGCATTAGTTCGGTATCTATCTATTACTTTCCTAATGTAGCCTGGAACTATTTCCCGTTCTGCCCCCTCTCCCTATTTTCCTAACGTGTCAGTGTTAGGACCGGTGGCAAGACCAGTTTCGCTTGCACACAGGACACAAGTTCTGAAAGGCTCATTTGAGCACTGTCCCTGTGTTCCTGCTGAGAGCAAAGAGAGAGCCCATACAAGTCTCCAGTGCCTCTTGGCCTAATCTTTTTTAATGTTCCTAGTCATGTTAACTACTGCTGTATTTTTGGCAGCCTCAATAGTATTGAGGTTTCTGGAAAATGTTAAGAAAGAAACCTGAATTAAAAAAAATTGAAGAAAGAGGGTTTCTGCTTTCTTGAAAAGCTGCTGCTCTTAATGTACAGATTGAATTACATTTTTCATCACCTTGAAAATTCAGCATGAAATTCTGCAATTTCAGGTTCTACACAAACAAAAAGCCTTTAAGGCTTACTGAAGAAACTGCCTTTCCTTCTTAGCCTTCCCTTCATGTAGCCCGTTAGCTGTTTCTTTAGGATTCCCTGCCTAGGTGAACAATAACCAAAGAGAAGATTTTCAAATCCCTTTTATTTTTCTTATAAGAGAACCTTCTCTATCTTTAGCATCCTCCTATGCACCTATCAGCCAGACACATAAATTTATTTCTCAGTTATTCCTATCTTTCAACACTTTTCTCATCATTAAAAGAAACCTAGCGAGGCTTAATAG